TGCATATAAAATATAACACCATAGTCATAAAAATAAAAAAATAAATTAGACCAGGGCAGGGGTTAGAAAGACGGTTTATCAGGATAGCAAACAAGTAACTTAAAGTCAGGAAGAGTATGTGAAGCTTAGCGTCAACTAATCAGAGATGAAGTCGCTGTCAGTCAGTTTATCAATCAGCCAATTTATCAGATCAGTCAGCCAATCAATCAGATTTACTTAAGTAAACCATAAACCATACGATAAGTCGCTAAAACCTGCATACAACATATGAACAAATATAAATAACAAAACAACAAGTGTGACAGTGGATCTTTATCAGGTAGATCCAAGTTTAATGGGACGGTCAAAAAGGCAGCAAACGAAGTCTTTAAAGCTGAGGATCTTCTCATCTTCCATGGAATGGAGCAAAGAAATTTGTAAGGTAATGGTGCAAGTGTTGCTGAACAGCGGTGTGGCGAGAAGCCTCTTCAGCTCAAAGAACTTCGGCAGAATGGCGCGACAATTGTTTTAAATTATTGCTGAAAAATTTAGGTTTTAACGGGGGTTCCTTTTGAGAAAGACAATCAACATTAATCGAAATATTCCCACAGTTCTGCTATAGAAGGATTCAAACTGAGACAACAAGAATCCACGGGTTGACACATGTTACAACTGAATACGAAACACGCTGACATTCACACTTATCATTACATCAATATAATGAGGGGCAAAATGTTGGGTTATATGGGAAACCTCATCACAGAGTGCAATAGTAAAGAATTCACAAGAAATCTTGCCTTCAAAGGACATACGTCAAGTCAGTGTCATTATAATGATTTGCTGCATGCTTTAACAAACCATTTTAGCGGTTGGGTTGTCGCATTCTCTAGCTCTGCCATTATGTTATCCGCAGCTGCTTGCTCGCTAGATTCCTGGCTTACCTCGACGCAAACCTACATATCTGAAGGTCGTTCCCCATCCACAATCGGTAGATGCGCTCACCGGCATTTGAATTTGCCACGGCAAAGAAGCATTACACGACAAAGCTCGAATAACACGGTAATCCAAATCTGCGATGTCTGACCACCGCTTCAAACGACTGGGTCTCTCACATTTACATCGGCAATATTCGATGCTGCCCCGTAAGGCCACATACGTTGTCGCAAGCAAGTTTGCCTCAACGAAACTTTTCAAACCTTGCAACGAGCAAGTAAATATCTGTGAATCGACATCTGGCAGAAATCGACGAAGAATGCTGTAGCATAATCAAATCAGCAGACTGATATGGGTCCATGACGAAAAGAAACGGAACACTACGAGCCCCACGGCAACACGTGTATTCTTGATACATGAATGTCAAGTGCATTTCGTCGGTTACCGACAAGGCAATCAACTTTTGGAGTAGTAACTCAGCAACCATCTAAGCTCTTAAAATCACAGGCTGCGCAAAACAGGAAAACTTCTTGCAAGAGCACAATGTTGCACAGCATACGTTCAAACTGAAGGCAGGCACAAGGGAAACTTCCGAAGACGTATCTTCTTGATTGAGTGGAATTACCAAAACATACAGACTAATAAAGTGTTACTTAACAGTAAAAGTACCAAAAGAATGAGCATTAACAATAAATAAATGCAGCAGCATCAACTACAACTTTGAAGCAGCAACGGGCATTAACTATCCTGTGAATCTGCTCTTCAGACGGAATACTGTACTCCTGTAATTAACGTGTTCCATTTTTGCGTTAGGACATGTAACGCTGGCGCCGACTTTCCGAAAAATTGCTAAGATTAAAGGAATAAGTAGCTTATTTCACGATGGAGTACATTTCTAAATTTTAATGCAATAATTAGCCCATGATTAGTCAGAACGGCTAACTTTAGACACGAACTTTGTACAGCACCATTATAAGAAGTTATCATGTTAAAATGGACAGAACCCCCACAGCAATAATTTTATCATCAAGACTTGACTGACTGTCTTCGAAACTTTGGTTAACACTGATTATCCCATGTTGCTGCATTGTCACTGACACTAAGAAAATACCGCACACGGTAGGGCATCTCAGATCGTCATCAGTGACGTTATGATTTGGCAATTGAAATCAGGAATTTTGCTGAAAAATGATGATTAACCCCGAAAACTGTATTATGTGTCAAATGCTGACAGGTGA